AAGCAGACTCTATTGCTAAGTTGGCCCTCTCTGTTTCGGGCTTTGTATCCTCCATGGCTGGAGTGTAACTCATCTTTTATATTTAATATGTGTTTGACCAAAAAAAAAAAAACTCGACAAATTGGGATCACCTACTTGCATTGCTCTGCAATCCAACCCTCTCTCGGCACAGTCTCTTTCTGTTCCGTTACATTTTCCAGGATTCTCTATCCCACATTTGGTGAGAGAGAAATGCGAGACGTCATGAGAAATTCAATCTCCTCACACCCGACTCATCAAGCTCATCGACGAAATGTGTGAAACAGATTTAACTCGATCAGAAACATGGGGGACCAACGGTACGACGATTGTCTAACGCTATGGTTCTCCACTCGACCACCGCCATGAACAAGCACACCTTTGACTAGCTTCAAAAAATTTCTTTCTAATCTCTTTGCAATTTCTCTTTCTTTTCTAAACATTCAAAACAATCCGATGCATTTATTTATAACAAAGTTTTTGGTTAAATAAATTTTACATTCAAATAAAAAAAATTTTAGTTATCACCCATCCAACAACAAGGGACTTATACTATCTAAGGTTATTAATCAAAAAGCTAAGAGGACAAGAAGTTTTGATAAAATTATAACAGTTAATGGTAAAATATATGTAGATTTCAAATCTTAATGATATGCTAGAGATTTACTAGATTGTAATTTTGAATGGCATGATGTAATGGATGAAGCTAAACAATGGGTTACACCTTATCAACTTGGACAACTATTTGTCTTATTGCAGATATAATTTGAAGTGAGCAGTCCTCTTAAATTATGAAACGTTGTTCGAAATCACTTGGTGAAGATAGATTTGTAAGACGACTTTCAAGTTTCAAAAACTACATCTAACAAAATATGAGCTACAACAATACATTTTGATTGTGATAGAGAAGGTAATTCACCTGTATGAACACTCCCTAACTAAGTTATTTATGTTTGCTAATTTCATCAAACTTTTGAATCGACACCGAGTATCTAACAATTAAAAAATCAAATGCATATGTGGTCAAGAGTTGTCCATAATTAATTTGTGCATGCGATATGACGGTTCACAAGAGACGCATCAACAGATTACAATCGAAAAAGAGTCAATACTCACAAAAAATCCAAGGCAAAATTCATAATCTCCATGAGATCTTAAAATCTAAAATAGTTCAACCGACGATTTTAAAAGTAGCCCGGAAACAGAATTAAGAGTTTGAGGTTCAAAAATCAATATTAAAGAAAAGGTGAACTAACTATTGTGAGGTAGATATCTGATTGGGGGATTGCAGATGAAGATTTTAGAAAGAAAATTGCGAGAACTGGAGATTGCGAAAGATAAGATATTTATTGGATGGCTGAGATTTTGGCCATAGTGTAGTAAGACGAATCATAGACTAACGAAATATTAATGAAGTGATAAGTAAATGTTGACTATACCATAACTATATTTTTTTATTGATGATATAAGAGGAAAGATAATAAGCTTACTAGCTTAGGAGAGTAGTCGAGAAGAAGATGACAAGTACAGAGAGAAATTCACATAATTATTGACAATTGCTAATCGATTTATATTTTAGACTTATGTTGTAGTTTTGTAATAAAAAAATTTCTTTGTAATTTAAACTGTTAGAGATTAAAACACTATAATTTTCCTTTTAATTAAATTTATATTATTATCAACAACAATATAGAAAAGATAATATTTCAATAAATATCATTAATTCAATATAATTTTCACCAAAACGTATAAAATAATTCTGTAACACCCGTTAAGTCGCGGATTCAAATCTACCAACAATTTAAAGTTAAGGTATTTTAAACTAAATTTAATTAAATGAAGTATTTTTTCCAACAAAAAACTATTGGGTATAAAACATCTAAATAAAAAATATATGAGGTTTTTTCAGGATTTTTTCCTAAAATAATAAATATCATCATTCATATATAATTTTCACCATAATATATCAAATACACCCCCGCGTAACGGGGGTTAATAACCTAGTTAATGTAAAAGATATTGCAATGCCCCATATTTTGTAGGAAAATAAAATCTTGTAGGAAACTAATTAATTAATAAGATTTAAAAAAAAAATCCATGTACATTAGTACTTGCTTCTTACCAAAAACAAAGTAAAAAATTTGTTTACATGTGGATTTGTTACGATTTCATGTAAGATTTTATCTGATTTATAAGATTTTTCTTTTAAAGAAAATATGAACCTGATTTTGGTATGCTTTAGTTACACAATTCTTCGTTAAAAAAAAAAATTGTTCATATCGTATCCACCTAATCACGGCCGTTGGATTAATGCGATATTCATTCACAGAAATATATTGGATTGGACGATCCTAATTTTTTATTTGATGAAACAACCAAATCCAAATCCAAATCCATGTGATTAGATAGAGTTTCCGATACGCAACTCAAGTTTCTTTTTTGGTAAGCACCGCTTACAAGCCCTATATATATATACTCTTGCTCATTATCTCTTTCATATTTCGATTTCGACATACACTGAAACCCTAGCCACATGATGATCAAGAACGAAGAGAAGATGAGAGTAAGGATTGCGAAGGAGAGATCTGACTTATGCGACTGGACTGCTGCTGCAATTAAGGCTACTTACAACACACGGAACCCATGCGAAGTCGAGAGATGCATCGATGTGTTGAAGCACTTGAAGTCTCTGTCTCTTTCCGCGAAGGATATAGAATTGTCTGAATCAATAGTTAAGCTGGAGACTTTGAGAAGCCATAGGAACCCTAGGATCCGTAAGGAAGCTCAAGCCTTGTTTCATTCATGGTTGAAGACATTCTACACACACGGAAGCGACAACTCTTTCGATGTTACCAAGGCTCGTTTGAAGACGAAGAAGCATGTTCTAACAAGGTGTTCGGAGTTGAAGATGAAGAAAGAAGATGAGAGATCATTAACTCGTGAAACAGAGAAGATTCAAGCAAGGAACAGCTTTTTGGCGTTGAAGCAGAAAGAGGATCATAAAGCTAAGGCTTGTGACGAGAAATATGTTAAGAAAGAGACAAAGACCAATCTAAAGCCGCTCAACGTGAAGACAAGACGTGTCGCTTTGGAGGATGTTACGACCAAGAAGCCACGTGAAGATGTACTAAGTTCTGGTTCATGTATAAAGAAGACTAAAACAGAAAAGGAGCTGAAGAAAAAGAAAGTGGATGAGATGGTGAAGTTGTTCGAAGCAGCAAAGAAAGCTGCTGATGTGGCCAATGCTAAGGGCGTTCTCTCAGGTAAAGCAGAGGCGTCTCGCTGCGTTGACGCTCTCTCGTTACTGATGGAAATCAATATTACTCCAAAACCAAAAGAACCAAGGAGGATGATGGATAAGCTTGAGGGACTTACAAAACATAAAGACCGCAAGATTTGCCATGCTGCATCAGCCCTTCTTCACCTTTGGAGACAGAGAATCAGAGAACAAGAACGTAAAGAGTCATCTACCAAGACGTTTGCTAACAACTTTCGTAAATCTCATTAGATATGTGCGGTCTAGTCATTTGTACGCATTGTATTGTTGAGTGATGAGCAAGTATACTAGTGGATTTCCGGGATGTTAATTACATCATCCCGGCGAGATGTAGGGTTCCACATTGGAACCTGAACTCGTAAAACTCTTTGTGTCTTTTACTTTTCTCTGCTTTGTTTTGTTACACACGAGAGAGATCGAGAGAGAAAGAAGTAGAGAACCAATCATGATGAGTGTCTCCAAAACAATCGTTCACATATACGAAGTTCAGATTATAAACCTCGCAATAGGGTTAAGGATTTTTAAACTTATCATCTTTATTGTGGATTTGGAGTATATATCCAGAATTCAGACGCGAGTTTTAAGCTTCTCTTTCGTCTTTCCTATGTACCTCAAATAATCTGTGTTCATACTTCATGCACACGCAACGCAATCTATACACTAATAAAAAATGTTATAATGATGGGCATGGGTTTACAAATCTATATATAATAGCAATATCAATAAAAACCTTTTGCACCTCTGAACGGTTGCGTCTTTTTTCGCAACTTTCCGTTTAAACATTTACGATTATTTTTTTACGGTTGTGTCTTTTTATCGCATCTCTTTGTTAACATATTTACGGTTTTTTTTACAGTTATATTTGTTCAACTACAGTCGTATCTTTTCAGTATATGGTCGTGTCTTTATAATTGCATCTATTCATTTAAAGTTACGTCTCATATTATATAGATTTAAATTTTGGTTATTTAACTAAAATATATATTTTACGGTTGTTCTATTCAAAAAGTTGCAATCGGAATAAATATTTTCTATGGTTGCATTTATTTATCGTAACACCTCATAAACAATTGCGATTGTTTAGTTGAACTATTGCAACATTTACTTTATTTAACGAACAATTTTAATTTTTGATTCATTTTATAAATCATTAAAATATTTAATTTCATTTTATAAATCATTAAAATATTTAATTTTTTAAATTAAAAATATATATTTTACGGTTGAATTTTTTTAGAAAGTTGCGATCCGAATAAATATCTTCTACGGTTGCATTTTTTTATCGTAACTTTTCGTAAACGGTTGCAACCGTTTACTTGAACCATTGTAAGTTGTAACATTTAATTTATTTCACAAACAAATACAACTCTTGGTTTATTTTCTAAACCATTATGATATTTAATTATCTACAATCATGTCTTTCGGTGTAATTTTTTATAAACTATTATTTGAAATTTAGTTACTAAAATGTATTTAAATAAAATTGTAACCGTTTAATTGAACTATTGCAACAAATTTAATGTGCTATAATCTTAATTATTTTATCAGATTTGGTTATTCACCTAAATCACTCAATCTAATTTTCGCACCCAAAACAAAAAATAGATATCTAAATATCAAATTGAAACCAAAATCATTATAAATTGTTCGGTACAATTTTGGTTTGTATGGTTTGATTTGTTTCTGGAGCAAGAAATTGAGACTGAACAGAGAAAGAGAAGTACTGGTTTCAGGTTGACTGTAACAAGTTTTCAAGATACGCACAAATTACATACAATATTCACAATTATATCTTGCAAGAACACTATTATGATCAAGTTGTAAACAAGATTTTCAATGAAAAACAGAAACAAAACAAAAGTGTGTTATATTCTTCTTCGGTTATCGACTCGGGTTCTCTTCAAGTCAGGTTGTGTTTGGCTGCTTGGTTGTAATCTCTTTTGGTTACCACTTTCTTCAATCTGTTTACAATGTGACAATGAGGAAATGTTTTCTTCAAGAGTCTAAAAATTTTGTGAGAGGTTCACTTGTAAAATGCAAACTCGGGAAGTTTTTTACCTTATTGAGTTTCTCCCGCACAGTTTTAACCGTTTGATTCATTGAAGACGACGCAAAATACTCCTACGCAATCCAGTTATTAACGAATTATTCAGGCCAAGATATTCCAAGAATGTAATGGAAAACAGATGACAAATATTTTAACGAGACAAATGTCAAGATCACAAAAAACACACACACCTGGTCAGATGAAACTCGAGTAACAGGAGCATTTCCTCTATGGAATTGGTACTCCATCTCTCTCCTACAGACAAAAAGAAGAAGCAATCTCTCATGCACTAACTCTATTTGTTTATTGATGATACAAAGAAAAGACCAAGTAGACCATATGTTACCGCTGTGGAGAAAAATTGTCCGTTTGGGTCAAAGCTGGTCCAGCCAATTTTGTAACTTGGGAGGTACTCTTTGCTTTCTGGGCTGTTCAAAAGATAAGAACCATATTAGACTTGTGAAGTTATACTGGATATCGTCTTAAAATTTTATATTATTCGCTTTGACATCAACCCTGTCAATGCTTTTCTAATACCCATTTGCTAATACAATGCTATAAACAAAATGTTAGCCTTTGCAACATATGAATGATGTCTGTTCCCTATGAAATAAGTACGTTAAGATAACGTGATAAATATATATCAAATATACTGCAATAAATTCAAGGTTGTGATTTTTTGGGTCCACTTTAGGTACAATGATAAATCTCACATGCCTCTGCAAAAGTATATCAATTACTAATAGACAGCATTTTTGGTTCATAATCTACTGAGGAGACACTATTTCTTTCCAATTTCTCCAATGATAATCTTTCTTGTTGTAGCAAAAAATTAGTTGAAGTGTACACAGAAAGCTTACGGTTCAGTCTTGCAAGCACTTCTTTCCTCCTAGTTTCTAACTTATCCTTTGTGTCACTGACGCTCTCGTATTCAGGAGCATATGAAATTTGGAGCCGATTTCCCAAAAAAGTTGATTCATCCAATTTCCTCTTTGCAAATCTATCAAACATAAACATATCTTAATCAAAACAAAAGTTTCCTCTTGGAACCAAAGTGAACAAAATATAGCAAGAAAACCAATAATGCAGATAAAAAAAAATCGATATTTTTAGCCTCAGGAATTAAAATCCAGATAATAGATATCATCACTCCAAGGAACCTAATTAGGCCTCTTTTTCTATGTACCAAACATAAACCAATCTCATCCAAAGAAATAGTTCATTTGCATATCACAAATAAAAAAAAACAGTAGATAAAAATATCGTACCAAGACAAATCACACAGCTCAATTCGACAGATTCAGCTGCAAGAACTTAAAATGCGGATATCATTACACTATGAAGTCACACAAAGGGTAGAAAAATATAAATCCTATGATCACTAAGATAACGATTATGAGTTTGGAATCAATAATAAGCAAAATAGGAATCTTAGCATCATCAGAGGGAAAGAAAAATCAAAACCTGGCGTTAGTGATGAGACGAAACTTGATCCAGTAGACATCTGTGAACTCCGCACAGTCTTCTGCATCCATAGGTTTACATCTACACAAATCAAACAAACAAGTAAACAATATCATAGTCCATAAGAACAATGCGAGAAACAAAAAGTGAGCAATAAGAGCACTACTCACTCTTCAACTTCTCCATAAGTCATGAATAATCTCATGAGATCATCACCACAACCCAAAGCTGGGACATTACGTACTATCAAGTATCTGAAAAACCAACAAAAGGTTCAATAAATTGAGCCCAGAAAGCAAGAAGAACAAAGTCAACTAGTCAATTGAGTACAATTCTAAATCAGACCTTGATTCATCGCAAACTGTATAAACCCTAACCGCTGGGGATTCATCTTTGTATCGACCCATCTTCTCCAATTCTGAGACGAACACGAAAAGAGAAAACTTTAACAGTGCTCACGTTTAGTTCCCCAGAAAATGAAATAACGATTCACTAAGCAGTTTCACAAAATCTGAAATATTTGAAATCCTAAGTAAACCCTACTTTCAGATATTCAAAGTAGTGAAACAAAAATCGAACAATCTAATCAGAGGTCAAAGAGGAAGAGACGATAACGCACCTTTCGCCAGAGTGTCGCCGGTTGAATCCGCCGGAGATTCAATAAGCAGAGACGACGAGATAAAGAATAAAAGAAGCGGCTCGGCTTCCAAACGACGACGTGTCAAGGACAGCTTAACCGATCGGTTTACAAGAAAAACCCTGACCAAAACGAAATTAAATTTCTGGTTTACCTGATCGGTTAAAATTAATGGCAACATTGACCACTAATAACACTAATTTCCATTACCATAAACCAAAAACAATTAAATAAATTCAACCAAAATTTCGACATTAAACAATTAAACAATTAAGAAACACCAATTTGTACGAAAAAAAAAAAGAGAGGAAGATACTAAAATTTACATTATTTAAAACTCACTAATTTTCCATTACCATAAACCAAAAACAATAAATAAATTCAACCAAAATTTCGACATTACAACAAACTAAGAAACACCAATATGTACATCTTCTACAAATCCTTGTGAAGAACATTCACAAGCTTCTCATAAGAATCTCTATCCACAAGCTGTTTCTCTCGCAACCTCTCCAATACTCTCGTCGCTTCATCATACTTCCCTTTCCTACAACTCTCATCAACAAGTGTTCTATACGTAATAAAATCAACCACACGACCATTCTCAATCATCTCCCACAAACATTTCACCGCATCATCGATTTCACCGGTAAGCGCAAAAGCATTCACCAGAGAGTTATAAGATTTCCCATTAGGAACAAAGCCTTTTCCTTTCATCTCATTAAGCAATTCTCTAGCATTAATGGTCCTACCTTGTGCACATAACCCATGTATTAGATAATCATAAGTAAACGAATTCGGCTGGCAATTGTAAACCACACTCATTTGATGAAATATCCTAAGAGCATCATTGACGTGAAGCGAGAGCACGTAACCTTTAACCAAACAGTTCAAAGCGAATACGTCTGGTTCAATCCCGCTATCCACCATTTGTCGAAACAAAGATCTTACCGTCTCCATATACATATGGCTTGTGTAAGAGTTGTTACCTCGACCCAACAAGGCTTTGAAGAGAATATGATATGTTCTAATCGTTGGTCTGCATTCCAAGTTCATACTAGTCACCATGTGTCTAAATATATTGACAGCACGTATCAACTTCCCGGCTTTCGTGAAATAGAAGATGATCGAATTGTATAGATTCTCGTTACCAATATGACGAACCGAGAGTACTTGGTTCACAATATCATCCATTTCTTTATACATTTTCGCAGCTCCGAGCTTCCTTATCGCGATATGGTAAGAGCAATTCACATGCTTAAACCTTGGCTGCTGCGACGCCCAGTTGAAGAGATGGAAACACAGAAACGGGTCTTCTTCAAGTGTTATAGCATCAGCTAGTTCTTCAGGGGTAAATCTTGGTGGAAGCTTTGTAATCGTTTCTTGAAACTTAAATTCATTAAGGACTGGTTTCGTACTCGATTTCTTTCTATTGCTGATTCTCCTTCTAAGTGAACGTGTTGGGACTGATGTTGAGTATTGTCTATCCATAGAAACAGATGCGAATCCACCTACACTTTGATTCAAGAGAAAAAGCTCCTAATTATATATGATTTTGCAGAGAGTTGATGAGTCATCAGAGATAAAGAGAAACATAAGTACCTTGACTAGTGGAAGCGATGAGACTATGAGATCGTCGATGGATGCTAAGGTCTTGCGGAAGAAAACTTCTGGATTCGAATCAAAATCGGAACTTTACATCAGAGTAAGATAAACCCACAAACAAAAACATTAAATTTATCAATGAAATCATTGCAAACGTAGTAGAATCCGGGAAGATGGAGAATTACCTCGAAATGGAACCTTCGATTGGAGACTGAGGCAGAGAAGAAGAAGTGTTGAAGCGCGAGGAAGTGAAATTAGGGTTTAGGAGAGAGAGTCTAGCTTTGGGTGAGATCAAAATTCGTGCTTTAGCGGTTCTGAAGATGGAGCCTAGAAATGTAGAGCTTGGAGCCATTTTTCTCCAATTTTTCTGCAAATCCCACAAAACCTCAAACTCTCAAAGGGACTGAAGAAGACGGTTCAATAAACTGTAGAAGCTAAACCGGGATTTGTTTGATTAACCGGAATCATGGAGGCGAGGACATGTTTGTATGGTTAACCGTAACGGAAAGTCCAAGCATAATGTGAAATCTGAGTCAGGTTTCATAAACCGAAACCAATTTGAAGAATTTTGGAAATTGGTTTTTGATTTAATCTTGGTTTATGCTGGTACGTTTTTAATAGGACTAAAATTTGCATATACAAAATTTGGGTTCAAATTGGTTAAAGAAAAATATTTGGGATCTACAGTACACCATGTAATAAGTATAATTTTGTACATCCTAACTAGATAATGTGTCACACTCAAAATTAACTTTAGATGGTGATATATATTAACATCCATAAGTTATGTGATCAACACCAAAACCATTACTTTATTTATTATTTCGATTTATTTTTCGGTTAGATTTTAATAAAACAAAAAAAAGTCCTCTCTCTTCTCTCTCTCGTACTTTTTAGAGAGGAACTGTTTTTTGCTTTTGCCGACCAGATTTTTTCCGGTGAACTGCCGTCCCGAGTGACTCGGGCTTTTGTCCGGCATCTTCTAGCTCCGTTAGCGGAGATGGCCGACCTTCGTCCGGCATCGTCTGACTTCCACTAGCAGCGTTGGCTGACTCTTCTTTTTCTCTTTGTCGTAGATCGGTTTCTCTTTTTATCTCTTTATGTTTTTATATTTCAATAATTGCATTTGATATGAGTTGGTGATAATCTAGTCATGATGGATTTCTCCGGCTTGTCTCTTTTGCGCTTGTGGTTGCAGGAATCGTTTCAATTTCTCTGAAATTGAAGAGATTTCAATCTAAAGCTTGATTTGCAAGAACTGTTTCAACAGTTTACATCTTGGGTTGAAGGATCGAAGAATACTCTGATGCATATTACAACTCCCTTTCTGTTGTTGCTTTCAGTTGGAGCTCCGCTTGGAAAATTTCGGTAACATAAAAGGAATCTTCGTGCGATTGTTTGTCGGCGATGTCTTTCTTACCGGAATCGGAGCTCGACAGCGGTGGTTGATGTCGGTACACTTCCGATGACTCATCAACACGTGTTGCGGTAGTAATTTCAGGTTGACGCGTGCCTTTGGATATAGTACAAACGTTGAAACTCCTTTTGCTTTCGTTGTAAAATTGGTGGGCTTTTGTTAAGCTTCACTCTCTTATTTTTGCAAAATCAGTGTGGGCTTTAAGGCCTTGTAAGTTGTAACCTTGGTTCAATAAAATACTTTTGAGAAAAAAAAAAAAAAGTTTTGCATATAACCTGTTACATGGTCAGTCCAAATTAAGATACAAATATCTTTATTAAAAGATACAAATATCTTCATTAAAAGATAAATTTGTATGGTGACAATGCATTAACAAACATAAGTTATGTGAATAATAACGTTGTTAATAATCTGATCAATGTTTTCAATGTACCTCTCAACGAAATTCGATTAGACCTAGAGTCACTCGACTGGACCCATCTAATAACTAAATTTGACTGGACATATATCAATTTAACATAATTTGAGGTTAACCAAAAAAAACCCCAATTATGATGGAAGTTGCATACTCGACTTGTAAGAATCAAAGGTTCCAACCATGTGTACCAACATGAAAGAAGACCAAATGGAAAATTGGATGTCGGTGGAGACAATCGTTCTCTTATATCTCTCTTTATTCTCTCTCCTGCGACACAAAAACTAGATCTAGAGTTTTTTTTTTACCTTTCGAGCTCCATCGTCGGCGATGTGCCAATACAGTGAAGCATGAGTGAGATCTTCCTCCTTTCCGGCAGTGACGTGGTGTGGATGAGCCGGTTCTCGATGCAATCCGGCGATAATTTACCGACTGTTTTGGGATGGGTTCCAGTCGATCCACGTTCTGGTCAAGGACGCCGGACGAAACGACGAGAATCGCGGATCAATCTCGTGGCTCAACTTGTCTGGTTCGATGTTGCAGTTACGGCGAAAGTTGAGAAGTGGCTTGGTGGGTGTTCACTGCTTGTTGTGGCGATTAACGGCATATCCTTCTGGATCTAGGATGGCTAAGTGATGCGGACATCCAAATCAAACCAAACCGGGAGTATATCAAACCAACCAGTACATGTATCAAACCGGTTGATATGGAGCATTTTGGAGGATCCTTACCCAAATGGAGTCCTAATCAAGCACAAGGCCTAGGGTTAATTATTCACCAGCAAATTAACCCTAAGAAGACTAACGATAGTTCAAGAGGAATCAAAGACCAGCGAGCCGAATCACCATGTTGTGAAAATTTGACCGTTGCACTCTTTTTTTTTTCTTATCTAGGGTTTGTCCCAATGGGTTTACCTAGAAAGGTTTTTAACGAGGCAACATCAAGTCATCAAGGAATCATTCACCAAGTAATTGATTCGAAGATGTTACAAGTACATATAGCTGATGTACTTGCTGACAAACTGGCTTCACTACTTGTTGAACTACTTTCTAAACTACTAGCTGGACTACTTTATGAAGTATTGCGCCAAATGAAGCCAAACAAAGAAATCTTCCTTATTCTACACTTGGACGCACTTCAAAGCTACATATAGAAACCAGGAGAACATATAGACCACACAAGACATGTACTACACGAACTTTGGTACACCTTACCACACAAGAACCCGCAAAGTTATTACTTGCCATATATGGAGCCGAAGGAGATCAACTTGAAACAGCTCTGTCCTTCTTTGTTTGTGCGCTTGTGTGAGAATCTTGAGACCCTCCAGAAGCTTCCAAGATGTCACAACTTCCTCTCCAAGTTTACAAGATACAAGGAACACCTCACTTGCCTTACTTGGACCGATTTTAGATTTAATGGCCCAACGACCATATTTTCTTTTAATGTTGCGATTTATTTCTTTGTTTAGCTTTTAGAACGTTTGTATTCAGCCTATATAAGTTGATCATTAGTCTCATTGTAAATCACCCTTGATCATTTTAAAGTAATAGAAATCGTTTCTTCTTGTCAAAGTTTAAGTCTTTATCATTTGTTCTATAGTTCTTTGTGAGTGAGTCACTTAGTACTTTAGAAACCTGCGGATTAAGTTTGTTGAGTGATTCAACAACCTTCATTCGTTCATTGATCGAGTGAGTCGATTATCCCACCGATTGAGCAAGTCAATCACCCCACTATCCATTGAATCACCCCTTGATTCACGAGAGAGTGCTTCAGAGCCAGCTCGTGAATTCCACCTTCCGCGTGACAAGCTTGGAAATCTCTTGATCATCAAGTGGTCCAAAGTTGGAGTGATTCCAATCTTGTATCACTAAGCACCGACTTCGGCTGGTGAGTGTTCGTATGAGCCAGCGGTCGTGATTGGTATCCGCCTGACCGATTTGAGGATGGTTAGATCTCAGGCAAGGTTCAAAGGTGAGTGTCATTTGGAAGGGAGGGTTAGTTTTCGCATTCTCTCTTTTTGCTAGGTTGAGGGGTTGAGGAAGGGGTCTCGGTTTTGGCGGATCTACCCTTTACGAGAGGATTGTTCTAGGTTTGACTTGTTTTCCGAGACCGGTCTGCGGCGGAACCGCTAACTCTGGTTAGGGTTTGGTGTCGGGAGCATGGTTGCAAAGGAGTGGTCCTTGTTAGTGTCGGATCTAATGGGTGGAGTTCGTTTTTCGGTGTACCGCTTGTTTTCAGATTTTCTTTCTGGTGGGCTTCGAGTTGGGCATTTTTTTTTTTTGACTGTGTAATTGTATTGGCGCATAAGCTAAAGCCCATTTTTTGGGATATTTAATATAAGCATATTTTTTTAAAAAAATGAAAAATTGGAAAAATTACTAAGTCATGGAAACATTTGCCAAGAACAATCAAAATCCCATTACGACCAGCTGGAATTGCGACTATATATGGGGATAATTTTCACGAAAGAAGGTAGAGGAAGACACAAGAACCTTTTCACGTTAATTTTCTACAATCAATCTAGTTTTTATTCCGTATCTCAATAGATTTTTAGGATTTATAATCACTTCAAAAAGATTTCGACATCTACATTTTCTGTCCTCCTTTTATTTATTCATGAAAATGTGGGTGAGTTATTGTTAAAGTGTTCAAAATGAGTTAAATTCCTAATAATTTTTTTTATTTTGATAATCAGGAGTAATCCAAACTTTTACCATCCAACTATTTTTTTTAGGCTAAGTGTAATCGTCGAGTAACCTATTCACCGAATTTTATAATAGGTCTAAACTCTAAAGCATAACAACATTTCAACGGGCCAAATAAAATAATTTAGTAAATTCTATTGTTAACAAAAATTGATGTTTGATCTAGACCTACAGAACCACTCTTTTTGGAATGTAATCGAGTAGATTACTACCACTTAATTTTTTCTTCACAGTAAAAAGCTTTATTATTTATAGATCGCAATGTTTTGGTTGTTAAATAAAGAGTGATAATCTTCATCTAAATGTTCTCAAGTTCACGCCAAATAAGTATTTGTTCCCTTAAAAGATTATCTATACCACATGCATGTCAAATTTTATTAGATCATAATAAACAAAAATTTCAGATATTCTATATTTGGTTTTATGACGACACAAAAAAGATAAGTTATTTTGTCTTTCAGTATACTCTACTTTCTAACCATATAATCCGCACTCGATTTATGACATCACACGATTATGTCAGACGTAAATTTATAACCAAAAAAATTTAAAAGTTGAAATGTTAATATCTTAAATCTTATGTTAGATCAGATTTATTGTCAAGATTAGTTTTTTTTTTTTTTTTCCTCTCACACACTCTCTCTCTCGTTTTCACATTCACTGTTACTTCTTCATAGAACTTCTCACTCTCTCTTCACACAACTGTACTCTCTCTGGAGATTTGAAGAAAACCCTAATTCCCAATTTTCTTTTGTCGTTTTCCTTCTCCGGCGAGGAGATTTTCTAGATCTAAAGAAAAAGTTTCCATCTTCACGAATGCAATAACTGAGAAAAAAAACTCACAAGGATAATGTCAAGCTCCGACCCGAAACCCGGACCTAAACCGGGTCCATGGCCTCCAGCTCCAGAATCCGCCGCAATGCCACCGTCTTCTTGGGCTAAAAAAACCGGATTTCGTCCCAAATTCTCCGGTGAGACTACCGCCACTGATTCCTCCGGTCAGCTCTCATTACCGGTTAGAGCTAGACAACCAGAAACCCAACCGGATCTTGAAGCTGGTCAAACCAGACTCCGTCCTCCTCCTGTCTCCTCCTCCGCCGTAGCTAACGGTGAGACGGATAAAGATAAGAAAGAGAAACCACCACCACAAACAACAACAACACCACCTCCACCTCCTGGTTCTGTTACTGTTCCGGTTAAGGATCAGCCGGTTAAGAGAAGGAGAGATTCTGATGGAGTTACTGGAAGATCAAATGGACCTGATGGAGCTAATGGGTCAGGTGACCCGGTTAGAAGACCGGGTCGTATTGAAGAGACAGTTGAGGTTTTGCCTCAGAGTATGGATGATGATTTAGTGGCTAGAAATTTGCATATGAAGTATGGTCTCAGAGATACTCCTGGACTTGGTGAGAGTGATTTTATTATTTGTTAATTTGTTATTGATTCTCTTGATTGTGACTTATATAATTATTGGTAATTAATATATATTGATAGATTCCATTTGTGGATTTGATGTCAGACAATGACTCAAGTTTGATGGATCTTTTAAAGTTTCTTACTTTAATTGTTATTTTTATATTTGGTGCTTGGTTAATGATTGTGTGTGTGTGTTTGTGTTTCAGTTCCAATTGGGTTCTATGGTTTGCAACATTACCTTTCAATGTTAGGATCATTGATTCTGGTTCCACTGGTTATTGTACCTGCAATGGGAGGTTCCCACGTAAGTGTGATTCTTTTGGAACTTTGATCAGTGAGGATTGCATTTAATTTCATCTTTTTTGACCACCTGATTTTTTGGATTATAGGAGGATATTGCAAATGTTGTATCGACTGTACTTTTTGTCTCTGGAATCACTACACTGTTGCATACTTCGTTTGGGTCGAGGCTTCCTTTGATTCAAGGACCTTCCTTTGTTTTTCTTGCTCCGGCTTTGGCTATAATAAACTCTCCGGAGTTTCAAGGTTTGAATGGAAATAATGTAAGTTAGAAAGCAAAACATCTTTTATGGTGGATTCCTTTGAAGATATGGTGGTGTTATTATCGAAATGTAACTGTTATTTAGATTGCAGCTTCATAAGTTTTTGTTGCTTAAGGTATCTGTTTTATAAATAATCCAAGTAGCCTGTTGGAGCTCTCTTTCTATTTTTTGGCAAAAGTTACTTAGCAAGAAATAACGAATCGTCATTAGGAAGACTTCTACACTAGGCATGAGTTGTTGGAAAACACCTTTTCCTACTCTTGGTATTTGTGATTATGCTTCTGCGTCTGTCTATAGCATTGATGTACACAATGCAAGTGAAATCAGTTTTTTCTATGGTTTGTTAATTGTTCCAGCTTGCCGTCTTTCTTTTTGTGTGAAATTATATAGATTGTTTTGCACAATTTGACATCTAGTTTTGTGTTTTGGTTAATACTATAGAACTTCAAGCATATCATGAGGGAGCTACAAGGTGCAATCATAATTGGTTCAGCTTTTCAAGCAGTGCTTGGATACAGTGGCCTAATGTCACTGATTTTGAGGTATACATCTTTGTCTTTGTCGAAAGCTGACACCTTCCATATATAATCAATCCTATTTGGTGTTTTTCTACATATGGTTGGTATGGCTTTGGGTGGTGCAGTATTTACTTGTATTCATAATTCTTTTGACCTTCTATATAGGTTGGTCAATCCAGTAGTTGTTGCTCCGACAATAGCTGCAGTTGGACTTTCTTTTTACAGCTATGGTTTCCCGCTTGTTGGTAAATGTCTTGAGATTGGTGTTGTGCAAATATTACTTGTGATCATCTTTGCTCTTGTAAGTTTTTTAACATTACTTTTAACCACCCTCTTGGCAAATGAAGTTTGTTTGGATCATTGGATGCTAGTTTCGAGTTTGGCTTTCTTCATTAAGTTATGTTAAACTTATCATATTACATCAGGTTCATGTTAACACTATATGATACTTCACAATCTTTGCTGCAGTACCTCCGGAAAATCTCAGTTTTAAGCCATCGTATTTTCCTGATTTATGCGGTAAGTAAATTCATGTCTGCTTTTCCTTATCTCCTTTGATAGATAGGAAAAGGAAGTACTCGAGATATATTTACCTCAATTGAATCAACTCAAATAATGTGGTAATCATCTGACATATTCCACTCGACATGTAACTTTGACTGACCTTCTTAACTTCTTACGGACAGGTTCCATTGAGTCTTGCAATCACTTGGGCTGCTGCATTCCTTCTAACCGAAGCAGGAGCTTTCACCTACAAAGGTTGTGACCCAAACGTTCCTGTCTCAAATGTTGTATCGAGCCACTGCAGAAAATACATGACCAGAATGAAGTACTGTCGGGTTGATACTTCTCATGCACTGAGTTCCGCCCCTTGGTTTAGGTTTCCTTACCCCTTGCAATGGGGTGTACCGATATTCAACTTGGAAATGGCTTTTGTTATGTGCGTAGTCTCCATAATTGCTTCAGTAGATTCGGTTAGTGCTCCTATCAACTTTAATTCAACCATCAAATTAATGTTTTGAATTCAAAATAATGCATGTTTACTAATCAGTTTATGATATGGTATAGGCATATATTGTAATTTTTTATTTTATGGGCAGGTTGGTTCGTACCATGCTTCTTCTCTATTAGTAGCATCAAGGCCTCCAACTCGTGGTGTTGTGAGTCGGGCTATCGGTCTTGAAGGTTTCACAAGTGTCTTAGCCGGTCTTTGGGGTATGGGTACTGGTTCAACCACTCTAACCGAAAACGTTCACACAATCGCTGTGACCAAAATGGGAAGCCGCAGAGTCGTTGAGTTAGGGGCATGTGTTTTGGTTATATTTTCCCTTCTTGGTAAGTAAGTCGCACTGCTTATTTATCTAATAAGTTTCAAGTTTTCTCCATTTTATAATTAACATGACCTCTTTAGTAAATACAAGTAACTTTACTATACATTAATAAATGGATTGGAAAATAAGCTCAACTGTACAACAGGACCCATTTTTTACTCTCTTTGACTAAAAGTGTTTTTGATATCCTCAGGCAAGGTTGGAGGGTTTCTCGCATCAATTCCGCAAGTCATGGTTGCCTCTCTTCTTTGCTTTATGTGGGCAATGTTTACGGCTTTAGGTCTTTCCAACTTACGTTATAGTGAAGCTGGAAGCTCACGGAATATCATAATTGTCGGGTTGTCGCTGTTCTTTTCTCTCTCTGTCCCAGCTTACTTCCAGCAATACGGCATTTCTCCAAACTCGAATCTCTCCGTTCCAAGTTATTACCAACCTTACATTGTTTCTTCTCATGGACCCTTCAAAAGCCAATATAAAGGGGTACGTTAGTACGTTACGCTTTGCCCTCACTTTCACGGGACCTTCAGTTTTCAAATCTTCTTGTGTATTTGCAGGTGAACTATGTGATGAACACGCTCTTATCGATGAACATGGTGATTGCGTTCATAATGGCTGTGATTTTGGACAACACTGTCCCGGGGAGCAAGCAAGAACGCGGAGTTTATGTTTGGTCTGATAGTGAGACTGCAACAAGAGAACCAGCACTTGCTAAAGACTATGAGCTGCCGTTTCGGGTGGGTCGGTTTTTCAGATGGGTCAAATGGGTGGGCATTTGAGAAAACAACACAATGGCAAAAAGTGGTAAATATGTCAGATGAGAGATCCCTCTTTTTCTTTTATTTTCATCTTCTCTGTTATTTTGATTAGTAGTCACGGTGAAGCTTTTTCTTGGGTCGCAAGTTTGTCTATTGGAGAGTTTTTGGTTAAAACAGAGAATATGGAAGTGATGTTGTTGTAAGATATATAGATTATGATCAAATGCTTTTGTAACTAGAGTTATTCATTTTTTTCACTATCTATATTTTTTCTTGTTTGGTAAATATATTGCGAATTTAATACATGGCTCTGGCTCGACAAGGAAAATCCGATAAAAGGAAGTTTACCCGATCAAATGAATGCACACAGACATTATTAACTGTTAAATATGGTCTTGGCAAGCCTGAGGTTGGTTAATCTCACGGCAGAAGGAAACATTCATTATTCATTTCCTCTCTGTTAGAAAAACATCACCCTCTAACTAACTAACGATTAATTGAAAGGTGCTTCTGGTTCAATTGTCATTTTATGGGCTTTATATCATTCAAAGTAGGCCTATTATATTATCTAAGAGGCCATTATCGTAAGCCCATATATTATCTAAGAGGCCACTGTGGTCTGTGGGGTGGTTTAAATAAATTCCATCTAGGGTTTTGTGCCTCTCGCGTCTCTCCCCTTTCTCAGGTTAGCTGCGTAATTATATCCGGCCGATCGCTGCATATAATTTGACTTTTACTCTCTTTTCTCTCTTGTTTCGTTTGCGATTGAGTTTGAATAGTTGTGTCGTTGTTACAGAGAATGGCAAAGTCGAAGAATCACACGGCGCACAATCAGTCTGCCAAGGCGCATAAGAACGGAATCAAGAAGCCAAGGAGGCACCGTCACACCCCAACCAGAGGAGTAAGTCTCTCTTTACAACAGTTCAAACCTAAATGATTTCAGATTCGGAGTTTGATTTTTGCATTTTTGTGAAATGATTGATGTTTCAGATGGATCCTAAGTTCCTGAGGAACCAGAGGTACGCAAGGAAGCACAACGTCAAGAGTGGCGAGAATGCTAGCGCTGAAGAATAAGTATTTTGATTATCTCTGTGAGACATTTTGATGTTTTTTTTTTTTTTTTTTTATGAGTTTGAGACTTTCTTAGACAAAGGAACCGATGTACTACTATCAATCCAGGGATTGTGTCGATTTCAGATTCTCTTATTTTGCAATTCTTTCACTATATGTTCATGTAGATCTAGAATCTGATAGCTGAACTGGATTTACATATTTAGGTTTGTCTAGCCTTACTTGAATCAATGCCTGTTACTTTTCTAGGTTCTGGTTTCATGAAAACTCCAAATTGCTTTAAGTTGATGGGTTCAAAAACTTTCATGTTTCCTTTCTTTGTTTGTTTGTTTATGTACACCAATCAAACCTTCTCTTTATACAGTTTGATACAGTTTTTTGTGAAGTCACTCACTCGTGCATCTTTAGTTGTTCATATATGCCCTCTGACCATTCTCATTCAGCCAGTCTTTCTCTCTCAAATATCTAAGAAATGGTTTGGGATCATCACTGAAGCCAAAAGCATTTGTTGTGCATTGTTCACCGTTGCAGAGCTTTGCTCCTCTAGATTCATGGTCTTCCATGTAGAGCTGAGGGTAAAACGTTGGGTTTTCAGAAGAGATCATCGGTTGTTCGTTTGGTGTCCCGTACCTAGCTAAAAGACTGACCTTGGAAGACCCATGAGCCATAAAGTTTCTCAAATCGTTTGTCCCCTGAGCTTGATACGAATAGGCTGGTCCAAGATTCTGACTTTCTCTGTACCGACGTAACCATTCAGAAGAAGAAATTTCAACAACTGGTAGGTTTGTGTATGGCTTCATGAAACCAGAGAGTTCCATATATCTTCTGTGGTCATAGAAGCTCTCTGCTTTGTTATTTCCAGCGTCATTATGAAACCAAGAAGCGTCTTCAGGCAGTAGTGGAGCAGACGGAGTTGGAGGTGAATATGAAGACGGCTCAGTGCTGTTACTGATGGAGAGACTATCAAAGGATGATACAAGACCTGTTTCATCAATAGGGCCCAACCCGTTTGGTTTACTTAAACCGAGTCGCCCATTCTCTTTGTTCTTGTCAACCACCCAAGCACTCAGTGATGGAGGTTTTCATGAGACAGTGCCCTCTTCTAGATGCAAATGTTGTGGAACCGTGTCCTCAAGACCTTGCGTAAAGCTGAAACTTTCAGACTCAGTATCCTGTGAGCTATGGTTCACAATGAGTGATAAGGTATGTCTTAGGCTTTCATCGGACGTAGTTGTTTGATTTCCTGAAGTTATGCTATCGGAGCTGAGTGGCTTTGTTGCAATGCCAGAAGAATAGATTGGAGCAGATTGAGACCTTACGAGCTGCTTGAGAAGAATGACTTCTTCCTCTTCCACAGGCACAGATCTTTCATTCTCACAAGGAATGATTTCAACCGGTCCTATAGTAACACATTTTCTGTTACTACCCTCTCCATTTCCATAAAAGAGCTCTTCTTTGCATTGCAATTCACCCAAAGTTGTGTAGAAATGAGACCGTTGCTTGTCAAAGAATAGCCACTTTTGAGAACCCTTCTTCGGCCTACTTGTGATCCCAATTGCGGAATTAATGATCCGTTGAAGACGAATTTCCTTCCCTCTATCAAAACTCTCTCTAAGATCCATATTACTTGAGAAATCCAAAAGTACATGTATGGGGGCCAGAGGAGCCAAGGACTTCAGTTCATGTTCTTCCCAGAGAGCTACCAACGTTTTAGCAGAGCAGTTTTTGCCTTTCACCTTTATCCGGTTCAAGAAATCAACGAGTTTGCCAAAGAAGTAAGATATTGCAGTCTCGTTTTTCTCATCAAACCTGCATTCCTCTTCTTCTACCTTGTCAAGCAGAAACGGTAAGTAGTCTAGAAATACAAGTAGAGCAGGCAAGAGAGGGCAAGAATCCAAGGGACTTGTCTTCAAACATCTCTCAACAACTCGCACCATGATGATGAACACCATAGTTAATGCTAAATTTGTTAGCTTAACTTCCTCTTTCACGTTGTCTGGTCCATTAACCTCGGCTAAATTATGGAAGATGAAGATGAAAAACGCAACAAGTTGAAGGATTTTATAAGGTCCCTTTCTCGACGTGTCCATAAATTGATAAGACTCCAACATGACTTCTAGATGTCTATCATCTGCTGCAAACGCTGCATCCACTTCTCTTATAGTTGATGCAAATGCACAACCAAACTCATCAAAACTGAAACACACCGGAAAGAGTTAAAGAACAGTTTTGGAGAAAGGGTCATCAAGAACTTGGGCTAAAAGAAGAGAAAATTTTGTATTTCACTCAGAATCCAAACCTGGATTTAAGGAAAAAGAAGCTGGTTGTCCGCACTTCCAGGGGCCATAAATCAACTTCAGCTATTAAATTGCGGGCCTCTCTGACATTTTTCACAGTAAAATTTCTCTCCAATGGGTTTGAGAAGTTAAACTGTGCGTCAGTAGACAGAGATTTCAAAGGAGAAGACCTGTTCTGCAGTAGTTAAAACAAGCATTTTGAGCTAAGGCAAACACAACTCCATTGCAGATAACAGAGTAGTATCAGTAAAATAATTACCTTCTCAAACAACAAAAGTAGATTGTTTGAAGCACCAGGAAAAGGCTCTTTCACAGCTAAGCTTCTTACACAGTGGTACAGAGCCAAGAACTCATCACCAACATATGTCGCCAATACAGCTAGCTACACAAATGTAAGAAAATCACTCAGAAATGGCAAATGACAAAAAAAGTAACGGAAGAATAATTAGTTACCTGATTATGAGGATTTCCACTATCAGGCCAAGATTTTGCAGCTTCAAGATAGTAAGTAGCTGCAGTTGACCAATTAGGATGCTCATGTGTTTTCAGATATTGTTCTTGATACCTTTGAAGATCTCCAAGGCAAATATAGAAACGATGGCATAAGAATCTGCTTTTTTGTTCTCCAGATTCCTCGGAGAGTCTGCGGTAATATCCTCTGACTTTGGAAATCAGACTCTGGTAAAACTCGGCGGCTTTTGACAGAAACAACTTAAATGCTTTCATATGGTTGACATGATCATCTGTTTTAAGGCCTTTACGAAACTCATCGATGTGCTTATAGTGGAGTTTCCAGAGACAGAACTCTACTTCTTGAAGCTCTTCATGTTGGAGATTGCTTTTAAAGATTTTCTCATATGTCGAACCTGCTTTCGCGTATAGTTCAGAAACATCGGGATGCAATATACCCTTTGAATGGATTAATGTCCATAGCTGTTTCTCAATGTTGTTAACTTGAGAATAGAAACATCATCCAATTGTGTGTTCATATACAAAAACAGTGAGATTCTTTAAGCAAAAGCAACAAGCTTTACCTCAACAAGAAAGTTAGTTTTTTTTTTTTAATGAATTTCACTTTCTTAGACAAAAGAACCAATGTACTACTATCAGTGATTTTGTCTTTTTCAGATTCTCTTATTTTGCAAGTTACTTGATTTGATGCAATTCTTTCACTATATGTTCATGTATATCTAGAATCTGAAAGCTGAACTGGATTTACATATTTAGGTTTGTCTGGCCTTACTTGAATCAATCTGGTATTATTCATCAATGCCTGTTACTTTTCTAGGTTCTGGTTTCATGAAAACTCCAAATTGGTTTCTTTAGGTTCTGATTCCATGAAAATTTGTGTACTGCTTCTATTCTAATCATATGAAAATAACCATCTACGTTATTTTCCTTGCTTGAAGTCCTTTATTGGTCAACTATTAAATCTTAATTGATTAGACGCCAAAACCATGGTCTCAAATTGGTTTAAAATACTTGCAACACAAAATTTGGCAATTTGTAAAATTATATGATTATTTTGTGTGTGGTGATTATGAAAATAAAGTGAAAATAAATTGATAAAGCGGTTGATGACGAAAGAACTCTTGCTTATTCAGGGACATGAAAGAATAACAAGTCCAGGTGGAAAGTAAGAGAAAGACTAGGACCATATTCTTGTCAAGCTTAACGATGCACCCCGTTCCAACTATGGCAAAAAGTGGTAAATATGTCAGATGAGAGATCCCTCTTTTTCTTTTCTTTTCATCTTCTCTGTTATTTTGATTAGTAGTCACGGTGAAGCTTTTTCTTGGGTCGCAAGTTTGTCTATTGGAGAGTTTTTGGTTAAACAGAGAATATGGAAGTGATGTTGTTGTAAGTTATATAGATTATGATCAAATGCTTTTGTAACTAGAGTTATTCATTACTAGGTGATCACCCGCGCTACGCCGCGGGTTTTCTTTTTGGTTTTCTAGTTTTTTTTTTGTTTTAATTTATATTTTGATAAATTTAATTTTTAATTATCTAATCATTCACTCGTGCTAGGTCTAGGCACCAGGATCCGAAATATCCGATCCAAGCTCGAATCCAAACATTGAAAATATCCGAAAGAGTTTTAGATGCTTGAATTTCGAGTACCCAAAAACCTTGATTCGAACCAAACTTATACCCAAAAAAAACTCGAACCTAACTAACCCATCAACCACATTACCTATTTTTCTTGTATTTCATTAAAGTTTTAAGTATTTTAAATAGTTTGGGTAGTTCTATTACCGATACTTTTGGTTAATTTGGATACTTTTAAATAGTTTGAGTGTTTTTTAATACCAAAGTTTTCGAATAATATGGATAATTTTGAATAGTTTTAGATACATTCAGTAATTTTAACCGAACCTGAAATATAATTTAAATACAAAAATTTCAATTATTTTTATATCAAAATAACTAAAATACCCAAAAAAACTGTAATATCCAAAATATTTTTAATTATGTTTATCAACATTTAACAAAAAAAAAATCGAAATTGAGCCAATTTCTTAGATTTTTTCGATATTTTGGATTCTTGAACCCAAACCAAAATAACTCAAACCCCACCCGAACATATAAAGTAGTACTGGGTCGTTCTAGAGGTTTAAACCCGAAAATCCCAAACCCAACTCCAGCGAGTACCCGAACGCCCAGGCTTAACTCATACAATAATCAACTACCATTAATTTTAAAGTACTTTTTCTAGTAACATACTCAACAATGCATAACTCAAACAATTTATAAACAATCTTCGTCCTAAACCAATTTTATAGATAGTAATGTTGGGATTATAGAAGTTTCACGAATTTCATGATGGAGCTCTTTACGTACTTTTCATCTTATG